CAAATTATTCATGGGTATAATGGCAGAAAGAATGAAAAAGATTTTAAATAATTGGATATACAAAGACCAGAACGGATTTTTACCGGGGAGACAAATTAGGGATAATTTGAGAATCGTGTTAGACACACTAGAGTATTATGAAGAACACCCCGGAAAACAGATGGCTCTGATTTTTGTCGATGCTCAAAAGGCATTTGACAATCTAAATTGGAAATTTATGATTAAACAAATTGAGATTATGAAATTCGGAACAAATTTTGAAATGATGATTAAATCTATTTATAATAACCAAAAGGCGAGCATCCTGGTGAACGGGGATAAGACCAAAACATTCCAAATTAGTAAGGGAGTAAGGCAAGGTTGTCCCCTATCCCCCTTATTGTTTATTTTGGCCCTAGAAGTTCTTCTCTGGAAAATTAGAACTAACGAGGAAATAAAAGGATTGAAGATCAGGAAGGAGACCTACAAGACGCAAGCATTTGCGGACGACGTAGCTCTAATCCTTGAAGACCCCATAGAATCGGGACCTAAAGTATTAGAGGAATTAAGTAAATATGGAGAGGTGGCAGGCTTTATACTGAACAAAACTAAAACCAAAGTATTGATCAAGAACACAACTGAGAGCCAGAAGAACGAGATAGAAGAAGTATTAGGATTACAGGTTGCCAAAAAAATTAAATACCTAGGAATTTGGATTACATCAAGATGTTCGACCCTGAAAGATGATAATTATACTCCCCTAATTAGAAAAATGAAACAAGACCTAGATAGCTGGAAAAAAATAAGACTATCACTTTTGGGCAAGATAGCCACAATTAAGATGAACATTCTCCCCAGAATATTATTCTTATTCCAAAATATACCGATAAATTTAGATAAAAATTTTTTTTTAGAATTAGACAAAATCATCAGAGAATTTATATGGGAGGGGAAAAAACCGAGATTTTCCATTAAAATTTTAAGGGGCAAAAGAGATATAGGCGGATTTGGACTCCCGGATTGGGAAACATACTACAGGGCAGCTAAGCTAGTTTGGTTAAGAGACTGGATCACCCTGGAAAATGAGAGGATTCTCACTTTAGAAGGCCATGACTTGCAAAAAGGCTGGCACGCCCACATTTGGGACACAGAGAAGAAAAGGAAGACACATTTCCATAGACATAAAATTAGAGACTCCTTGATTCAAACATGGACTCAGATTAGGCAAAAATATTACAAAAAAATCCCAAATTGGCTCTCAACGATGGAGGCCCTGACCCACCCAAATAGGTGGGAGAGGGAGAAAATGGGCAGATACAAAGATATTTTAGACGAAGGAGGGAGGCTTAAACCAAATGACACCTTACGAGAGCAAGGAATAATTTTAGATTGGTGGACCTACTCACAAGTAAAATCCAGATATCAGAGAGATAAAGAACAATACGGTTTAGAACTTGGACCAAATGGATTGGATAAAGTCCTGATGGGAACAAATAAAAAGATTCTGGCAAAACTATACAATTATTTATTAGGCGACGATAAGTTCGAAGATGTCACAAAGAACCAAATAATTGCATGGGAGAAAAATATAGGGCGTGATATAAATTTTGGGGAATGGGAGGAGGCATGGAACAGAAATCTTAAACTCACTAGAGCTGTGGCATATAAGGAAAACCATTACAAAATGTTGCATAGATGGTACCTAACCCCGGCCAGACTAGCAAAGATATATCCCAATATACATCCCAACTGTTGGAAATGTGGCTATGGTCAAGGCACCTTCTTTCACATGTGGTGGACATGCCCGGAAGCGAAAGGATACTGGAATAAAATTAGGAGATGATTACAAGAAATAACTGACGAAGATATTGAATTAACACCAGAGATTTTCCTCTTGGGAATAATAAAGAAGCCATATAGAAAGGAAATGACACATTTAATGGTCCACATAATTACAGCCGCTAGATTGGCATACGCACAGTACTGGAAAGAGAAAACTCAACCACCAGAAGAGCGTACAATCAAGAAAATACTCGAGTGCGCAGAGATGACTAAATTAACTTATGAATTAAATGATGAGAAATCAGTTTACTATATGGTGTGGGAAAGGTGGTACAAGTGGTTGCATGACAAAATGGAAGAAAGATCTAAAGGTGTGTTAAATATTGGTTAAAAGTGAGTTGAAATGTCACCAAGTACTATTTATGTAAATAGTTAAAACACTGCACATCCGATACTAACTGAAAATGTTATTATACTTATGTGTTTTATGTTTCTGTTTGAATGTTTGTTTTTCCTTTTTCTCTTTTTTTTATTTCTTTTTTTGTTTTGTAAAAAACCTCAATAAAGTTTCTATAAAAAAAAAGAAAATTGTATTGGTCTGCCTAGTTTATTAATCGGCAAATAAAATCTGATCTGTGCCATCATGAATTAAATTTTGAAGTTTGCAGAAAGAATAACTTTTTCTCCAGTATATAAAGCAACCTTCTGCAACTCCCTCCCACATAGTCTCTGATGCTTTCAGGAAAAAAAAAATCAAGTGAATCAAGTGCTGCTTATGTGTATAACTCCAGATATTGCTGTCTCTGAGGTAATTCTGAATTACTGATTGTGTTGCAATCTATAAACAGAAAGCTATCTGAATATACTGCCAAAACAAATTCAGTTTAGGTGAAAATTTATAAGCTTCAAAATAAAAACACTTTAAGCAAGAGTCTAATGAAAATAGAATTCAGGCCTAGAAAATTGTGGTAATTTTAGAGGCTATTAGGTCCCAATAATAGCTAGTTATTTTAATGATTATTTTACTGGGAATAACATCAGAATGTTCAACATTCCCTACAATGGGATCCAACAGCTGCCTCTAGTAGTCAGTGTGAGTATTTTTAGGTTTATTAATACTTGTAGGTTGCCCTCACAGTTGGACTGGAGGAGTTGGAGTTAGAATAAATATACCCAATACTAAAGCTGAGGGAAGAACTTGAAACAGAAAGTTATGCTTGCCACTGGTTTACTTACCAGCAGCTGAAAGAAAAGTTCAAATTGGATAAAAAAATACTATGGATTTGACTTTGTTAAAAATGAATAGGAACTTTCATTATGTGGCAACAATGAACATATTGCTAAGATTTATAAAAAGTTATTGAAATTGAATTTGGAAAACATTGTATGATTCAGTGGGCAAGGAATTTTTGATATAATGTGATGCTTGAACAATGGGAAAATATGTGGACAAAGGATTTAAAATTTACATTAAATTATAATCTAAAAGAGAATTTCTACAAGATGATGTATCATTGGTATTTAACCCCAGATAAGTTATCTACGATGTATAAAGTCATGTCAAATGAATGTTGGAAGAGTAAAAATAAAGAAGGGACTTTTTATCATTTATGGTGGACATGTGATAAAGCAAAACATTTTTGTAGTATGATTCATATTTTAATACAGAAAATTCTGAAAATGGAGATAAAAATGAAATCAGAACTTTTCCTTTTGGGTCTCATGGAAAAAGAACTGGAGGAAAAAAAATTGAACTTTGTTGCTATATATGTTGACAGCAGCAAGTCTATTGTATGCACAAAATGGAAGGACACTTCGATTCCTACCATGGAAGAATGGCTGCAGATATTGATGGAAATGGCAAAACTGTCTACTTTGATTAAAGAAAAGAACATACCGTATTTTTCGGAGTATAAGATGCACTTTTTCCCCTCCTAAAAGAGGCTGAAAATTTGAGTGCGTCTTATACTCTGAATGTAACCCCGCCCACCTGCCGCCCCCCACCCTTCAGCCCCCATGCGTCCTCTTCCTGGCTGCAGACATTGCCACTGACAATGGCTTGGGTTTTTGGTGTCCGTGTGTCACGTTTTCAGCCTCCAAATGCTCTGTTTTAGAGCCCTTCAAGGCTATGAGGATCGCCAAAGCACATCACCCTTGATTGCTGCCCGAAAACGCAATGCGTTTGGAGGCTGAAAGTGCGACGCATGGTATCTAAAATGGCTACCCGGAACAGCTACTGCCTTCTCTTACCCCTTCCATGCTTCACTTGCTTTAGTCACTGGAGCGCCCTCCGGAAATCAGCTGTGCTTTTGAAGCTGTTTTTCAGCTCCAATGTGGCCCTTGTGAGCGAAGAGATCTTCCGCACTTTGCCTGCTTTTCTAATTGCTGCTCCCTCTGACGATCAGCTGTGCTTTAGAAATTGTTTTTTAGTTCCAACCAGCCCCAATCTCAAAATCAGCGAGCGAACTAATGTGCTGAAGCTGACCAGGCTAAGGACACTAGCCAGATGAATACCTGGCAGGCAGAATTTCTTTTTTCCTATTTTCTTCCCCAAAAACTAAGGTGCATCTTACATTCCGGTTCATTTTATACTCTGAAAAATACAGTAAGTACTTTTGTTTCCACATGGAAACCGCTTTTGAACTTTGTGCTTGATGTGGAAAAGAATGTAACTCTGATTTTGTGTTTTACAGATTAAACTGATAGAACTGTATAGAAATGACTTGTTCATACTATTATGGAAAAGCAAAAAACTGTGATTTGATGTTAATGGCTTATTTTACTGTAAGAGAGAGAGTTGGAAGTCAATGCTTCTTTTCCACCCCCCTATCTTTCCTAACTTCACGTCCCACTTTCCCCTCCCCTCTCACTGTTCTTTTATTTACTTTTGTATTTTGTATTTTATAACCTATAACTTAATAAAAAATGTAATATGGCAAGAAGAATAAATATTTGCATGAGTAATAGGGTGAAGATACATAGGATGATATTTTAGTTACACTGCAGTATATTATTAAATTTAGTGTCAAGGTATTTAGTATTTAGTGTCAAGAGTATTTTTTTCTAGATGGTGATCATCTTAACGTGACCTCACATGTAAACCACACAAGACCATGTAAAAGCAGAGGAGAATTGAAACAAGACACTTCAACCAAAGATCCACTGATTATGTTGCCTAGCCTGATAATGAAACATGCAGATGCCAAACAGCAAGCTCGGAGAATAAACCACCACCAAGAAAAAATGAGTTTCATCTTTAATCTTTAGAAGATATGGAAGAAACAGCAGGAATATTTAAACATTTTTGTCACAAATTAACAAACTGTTCAAAAACAGCAGAGGAATATAGGAGTAGATAAACATTGTTGAACTGGATAAAAATATTACTGATAATAAACCATTTTTTCCTTGTGTTAGTGGAAGACAGCAAATAGGTTAGTATTTAAATGTTCAAGCAAATAATCTGTCTGGACTATAGAACCATCTGAACCAGTTTGTCTTTCCAATCAGATGTACTGATGGAAATGAGTGCAGATTTCAGTTTCTGAGAGCAGAAGATCACTTTAAGGCCACCTGCTGAACACAAGATGCCAAGAATAGGAGAGACTTTAAATTGTTTCAGGATTGTGGTCTCAGTGCCTGGGTTCACATACCACACCAAATAATAACATGGCTTATAGGATTTTGCTTTAGGATATTGTGTGGACTCATTCAATGTGGCTCATTCAACAAACAAAACGTGAACAACAAACAAACTTTTTCAAATTGGATTCACACCCACCCCAATATGAGAATCTTAGAAAAAAATGGTCTAGGAAATAAAACAAATGTGGAGGCAAAGGTTTCTGAAATATAAAAATTAATTTCATTTTCAGTGGAAGATAATTATTTACAGAAAATTGTAGGAATTATTCAACCATACTAGCAATAGATTTATTTATTTTAAAACCCACAAACTAAATTAAGTCTGATTTAATTGAATTCATGGTACATTTTAAACCAGCAATTTAACATTTTAATTTGTTTCAGTTGAACATGTTATGATTTTCCATGTTTATTATTTTCTTAATGCCTTAATAAACATGTTAGTCTTTAATATGTCACAAACCTTTATTGCTTTGAACTAAGAAACATATTCTGAATGTCCCACTATGTCAGTCCATAGGAGACAAACAATGAAATTATGCATCACGAAATTCCAATGCAAAGTCCACTCCATTTGTATTTGTCAGCAGAATTTCCAACCTGACATTGTAAACCACATTTTGGGCTTAATGTAATTAGTTGCAGGTGCCTCTCTATCCCATTGCTTAGAAAAGGTGAGCAAACTCTTTGGTGCAGAAGGTTATCTAATTCTTTTTATAGTTTTATACTAAGGCTGTATGATATGTTTTCATTTAGGATTTCATTCTGATGCTCTGAATGTGGAGAAATCTTGCTTTTCCAGGGAGATTCTGGATACTAGTCTTGGGCTGGTGGCTGAGGAGATTGAAGCACCTGGGTTTTCTATTGTTGGTCTGATTTCCTGGTTTGATTTCTTGTGGAATAAAAAAGATCAAAAGATGAGAAAGGGAAAGTTACAAAAAATGTTAGATGATGAAAAAAAGCATGAGGATAAACTCCAGACATAACCGAAATCTGACTTGCACTGGTGAGGTTACATACATACATACATACATACGTACATACATACATACATACATACATACAGTACATATATACATACATAAAAAGGTAAAGGCTCCCCTCGTGCATATGTGCTAGTCATTCACGACTCTAGGGAGCAGTGCTCATCTCTGTTTCAAAGCCAAAGAGCCAGCGCTGTCCAAAGATGTCTCCGTGGTCATGTGGCTGGCATGACTAAATGCCAAAGGCTGTTACTTTCCCACCAAAGTAGTCCCTATTTTTCTACTTGCATTTTTTATGTGCTTTCGAACTGCTAGTTTGGCAGAAGCTGGGACAAGTAACGGGAAATCACCCCGTTCTGCAGCACTAGGGATTCGAACTGCTGAACTGCCGACCTTTCAATCGGCAAGCTCAGCATCTTAGCCATTGAGCCACCACATCCCTGGGACATACATACATACATACAGTTAGAGCAATTAACCAATGGAATAACTTGCCTTCAGAAGTTCTGGGTGCTCCATCACTGGACATTTTCAAGAAGGGACTGGAAAACCTTCCAGTCCCCTTCCAACTCTGGTATTCTGTATTCACTTTTAGAACATAGAAAATAATAGAGTTGGAAGGGACCTTGGATATCTTCTAGTCCAACCTCCTGCTCAAGCAGGAGACCCTATACCCATGATGGCAAACCTATGGCACGCGTACCACAGGTGGCACAGGGAGCCATATTTGTGGGCACGCGAGTGTTGCCCTAGCTCAGCTCCAGAGTGCATGCGTATGCCAGCCAGCTGATTTTCGGGCCTTTTGGGCCCACCAGAAATTGGAAAACAGGCTGTTTCTGAGGGTGGGGGTGGGGAAGGCCGTTTTCGCCCTCCCCAGGCTCCTAGAAAGCCTCTGAAGCCTGGGGAGGGCAAAAAACAGGCCCACCGGGCCATCGCGGGCCAAAAGCGGTGGGAGCGCAGGGGGTCGTGTAATGGAGCTCCCACAAATTCTGAAGACAAGCTATTCCATTGGTTAATTGCTCTAACCATTATAAATTTTCTCCTTAGTTCTACCTAGATGTGATGAGTTACTTCTTAAGGTGTCACTTCTTCAAGTGACGTGACCTGCCCACCAATTCTTCGATAGCTTACCTCTGAAATGATGAACATACAGTTGTCAAAGGATGTCTCTGTGAGAAGAAACAATGTCATATAAACATCTTAAACTCTAAATAGGTTTATTTTTAAGGATGTTATTACACCTACATAGAAGTAGGATTATTGGTAATTAATTAATTTCTTTTACTGATTTTTACCTACTGTTACAGATTATGCTTTTTCATTATTTCAATAAATGAATATATCTGGTTCTCTCTAAACATACCCAAATTGCATCTTTTTATGGCTGTGGGAAGACAGCAAACAAAAAATAGAAGTCACCATGGCAAGGTTTAGACAAGAAGGAGGTTTGAGCACTGCCTTCTCGTGGAAACATGATTCTATTTATTTTTTTTTATTTTTTTTAGTTTATCAAACGTGTACAAGATAACAGGTTTATGTATAAACATGGATATGAACACAGGAAATGAGTACAAATAAATGGGGACAGTAGGACAGGGACGGTAGGCACACTGGTGCGCTTATGCATGTCCCCTTACAGACCTCTTAGGAATGGTGTGAGGACCACGGTAGACAGTTTAAGGTTGAAGCTATGGGGGTTTGAGGATGTAACAACAGAGTCAGGTAGAGAATTCCAGGCCTTGATCACTCTATTGCAGAAGTCGTATTTTCTGCAATCGAGTTTGGAACAGTTTGTATCTATTGTTTGCCCGTGTATTATTGTGGTTGAAGCTGAAGTAGTCGTTGACAGGTAGGATGTTGTAGCAGATAATTTTGTGTACTATGCTTAGGTCAAACCATAGGCAGCGTAGCTCAAGGTTGTCCAAGCCCAAAATTTCAAGCCTGGTGGCATAAGGTATTCTATTGTGAGCAGAGGAGTGGAGTACTCTTCTCATGAAATACCTCTGGGCCTGCTCAATTGTATTAATGTCCAATATACAGTGTGGATTCCAGGCAGACGAGTTGTATTCAAGGATTGGTCTGGCAAAGGTTTTGTATACCCTAGTTTGCAGTACAGTGTTACTGGAGAAGAAGCTTTGCAAAATTAGGTTAACAACTCTTAATGCTTTTTTGGCAATGCTGTTACAGTGAGCTCTGGGGCTTAGATCGTTTGAGATGAGTACTCCTAGGTCCTTGACAGAGTGAGGGTCATCTACAAGGTCATATCCGTGCAGCTTGCTTTTGATGTTCTGATTTTTGTTGCCAATGTGTAAGACAGAGCATTTGTTAGTTGAGATTTGGAATTGCCAATTGTTTGACCATTCTGACACATAGTTAAGGTCACTTTGTAGGGCAGCAGTATTGTTGGTGGTGTTAAATAGTTTTACATCATTAGCGAAGAGGACGCAGCTGCTTATAATATGATTGCAAAGGTCATTTATGTAAAGCAAAAAGAGTGTGGGTCCTAAAACGCTGCCTTGGGGGACACCGCTGTTAACTGGTGCACGGTTTGATAGAGCGCTCCCTATTTTGACTACTTATTGCCTGTTTGACAGGAACACGGCTATCCACTTGTGAAGGGATCCGGAAATGCCGTAAGAGCTTAGTTTTAACAGTAGTTTGTCATGTACCACTGAATCAAAGGCTTTGCAGAAGTCTACGTAAATTGTATCTATTGCTTTACCCTTCCACAAAGTTTTATCCAAAGCTAAGCTATTAAATTGCTGTTTTCTCCAACAATCAGTTTCTTGAATTCTACTGAGAAACTGCCTCATTGCTGGGGATTTCTTTTGCTTTACAAACTTTCCTTTGAGGCTATTGATCCACTGTCATCCTCATGTAATGAATGAGCTGGGTGATGGGATATGACCAGACAGATGTTGGTTGTTTTCCTCTTCAGTTGTGGGGAATGGGACACATAGTGCAAACTCTCTTTAAATTTAAATTAAACTACCAGTTCTTTCTTTCCAATAACCAAATAGCTTGCCTCTGCTGAGTCTTTCTCATTTCATATGTGTTTTTTCACAAATACTTCTAACCTAAATATTACATTGGGAATAAAAATAGTCCAATATTTCTAAATATGCATCATTATGCTCTTTGAGAGGGGGCACTTCCTTGACATGTCAATAAATATCATTACCTTATTTGGTATCATTACCTTCTTTGATCCTGGGAAGGGGCATCTGTGAACTCCAACAAGAACTAGTTCCAAGCCAAGTATTGGTGACTTCTAGCTTTCTCTGCTGGTAATTCACCTCCCTGGCTGCCCAGCTCTGATATGTCATAGCAATTGGAACTTCAGTTACATTTTACATACCTGCAGTGGGATAGTTTGTTTCTGCCCAGCAGGACTTCAGCTTCCTAAGCAAACAAAGTATCGTATCAACTAATAGTCATATTTGGCCATCCTAAATGCATCATTGAATCTGAAAAAGGGCAATTTGAAGGAGACATAGGGGAAGGAGAGGGGAAGAGAAAAAACTGGCTATGTCAAGTATCAAAGTAAGACTTGTGGTCTGTAAAAATTAAATAGGAATGGGTGTTTCACAATTATTAGGAGCTGGCAGCAATGCCTTCTTTGCAGCATTTCAATAATTTGTACCAATTTGCTGGGGAACATTTTCTTCAAGGGGAAACATCTCAAAGGGGACTCATCAATACTCTAGTAAAGTAGACAACAAGTGACCCGGTCCCTACCACAAATTCTGAGCACCATAATTTAGGATAATCTCTCACCTTTTCTTCTTTCTTCTTTTAACTAGTAAGAAAGGGAAAATGAGGATGCATTAGGAAATAATATTATAAATACTGTGAGACAAAAGCCTGGCACACCCATTTAGAGAAAGATCAATTGAAGATCAAACAGCAATGTGCTCAGAGTGTGCCTCACTATTTAAAACTTTATTTTGTGCCTATACTACTTTGCTTTACATTAATTCCAGGATGCTACCCCATCCATGGGGAGATGGTCTACCTCTACTATATCTCCTCTTCCCTCCCTTTAGCTTCCCATAGGGACATACAAATTTGTCTTTATGTGTCCAAATCATTTTCAAGTCATTTTCTTGACCTGGAAGAATTTCTGGCTTGGCTTTATACAGATCAAATACATCAATATTTGCTCCCTTGATAAGTTTGCACTCTATTTCTGTCTTGTATTTTATTAATATGTTTTTAAAATATGTTTCTATTACATTTGAAGTTTAATAGAAACATAGTAATTTAAGCACATTACAAATAAATAATTGTTTACCAGGCTGCAAAGAGAAATTCCAGTAATTAAAACCTCTTCCTTTATCACAGATAAAACTATTTTAATAATTAATTAGTAGGAAATAATTAAATCTAGAAGATACAATTATCTTTCTAACAGTCCACACTGGACCAGATATCACTGTAGTATACACAATAATACAGTTGGAAGGGACCTTGTAGATCATCTAGTCCAACCCCCTACTCAAGCAGGAGATCCTATATCATTTTTGACAAGTGGCTGCCAGTATATTCTTAAAAGCCTCCAGTAATGAAGTACCCACAAATTCTAAAGGCAAGCTGTTCCATTGGTTGATTGTTATCACTGTCAGAAATTTTCTCCTTATGTCTAGGTTAAATCTCTCCTTGTTCAGTTTCCATCCATTATTCCTTGTCTGGCCTTCAGGTGCTTTGGAAAATAGCCAGTGGTGGGACCCCCTTGACCCCCTCCTCTCTGTGGCAGCGCCTCAAATATTGGAACACTGCTATCATGTCTCCTCTGGTCCTTCACTAGACTAGCCATGCCCAGTTCCTGCAACCGTTCATTGTACGTTTTATTCTCCAGCCCCCTAATCATATTGACTGCTCTTCTCTGCACTTTTTCTAGAGTATCAACATCTTTTTTTTATAGTGTGGTGACCAAAACTGAATGCAATATTCTAGGTGTGGTCTTATTAAGGCTTTATAGAGCAATACTAGTACCTCACGTGATCTTGATGTTAATGCAACTTAGGGTTGCATTGGCTTTTTGGAGTGCTGTCAGACATTGCTGGCTCATATTTAATTGATTGACCACTAGGACTCCAAGATCCCTCTCAGAGTTATTGCTATTAAGCCAGGTTTCACCTACAGTAATCTGTATTTGTAGGACTTTACTTTTCTCTTCATTGAATTTCATTTTTTTAGATAGGGCCCAATGTCCATCTGGATCTTCACCCTATCATGTAGAGTGCTGGCTATTCCTGCCAGTTTAGTATCATCTACAAATTTGATACATTCCCCTTCTATTTGTAATTGGTAATTGGTTTTTTAAAATTATTATTATGAACATATTATTTTTCCATATTATTATGGAAAAATCATGCCTGGGACATGGGAAGATAATAAAGAAAACATCTGTCTAGAATAGCCTGACAGTAATTATCCAAAATCTTCATTTTAAAAAATTGAGCCAAGAATTGGCCATTCCTGCTGAAAGGCAAAAAGATTATTACTCAGTTTAAAAGTAATAGTAGCCACAGTTGGGGAACATTCATCCTTTTTTTCCCTTGCATACATTGATATTATTAAGATGCAAATTAAAAGAGAAAGAAATATGTTCTCTTTACAATGTTAGAACAAAAACATCCCCTGCATGCAACCATGCTCACAGACAAACTAGTAACTTATAATTACTAATTAAACTAATAATGACTGGCTTATAATATAAGCCAAAATGTTTGCCAAACATTTAGCCTTTTGTCAAGAGCATAGCATTGCTACTCATTGGGTGATAAAGCCTGTGCAGTCACAGAGCACAGCTGCTTTGGCTGAGTTGTTTTTCAGGTATGTGTCAAAAGGCTAAACGTGAAAGAAGCATGTCCCAGAAGTCTCCATCCTAGGCAGCATCTGTACTAGTCAGTCTGAAATAGACACCCAGTTCCTGCATTCCACCTACAGTATGCGGTTGTTCCCACAGCTGCAGAGAGGATCAGAACCAAAAGCAGAATTCCAGTTACACAAAAGGTAATGGGGAGAAACCAGGCTGCACCTGGAAATGGAGGAAAGATCAGATACAGTTACAGAAAATAATAAAAGAAGAGTGCATCCTTATCCTTTCTTTTCTTTAGGTAATAGAGAAAGCAGAAGGTTCCTCTTTCTCTTCCCAATCACTGTCTGTTTCTCCAACCCCAGTTCTGCCTCAGATACAGTAGTGTATAGCATATAATATATGGACTAGCAATATATATTAACTTTTCATCTAGATTAGTACAACACAATAAAATATAATGCAGTATAACAAGTTTCCATCTTTCCCATAGCAGTCCTGCTTGTGGGACTTCTATTGGGAGCTGGAGTTTCCTGGCCAGAAACATTGGCTATATCAATAACCAACAACTGCTTACCTCCAGAAGTGAAAAAACAAGGGTGGATATCCTTTAAATAAACAAGAAAGGTGGAAGAAAATGTCCAATGTCTGGATAGCTTCTGCCAAGCTAGAGCCAGGCAGCCCAGCATGGCATATCCTCAAATCTAATTTCTCCAACACTTGTTGGTCACTTTTCAGAGAGGATACTTTTGCCAAGCTGGACAACCCTTTTGTTGCTGCTACATAGGAATGAAGGGAGCTGAGGAGAGTCCAATATGCCTGGAAGCCCCAAAGTGGGGAAAATTACTGTTGGCAAGGAAAGCTTTTGCTGTAGCACTTACCTTTGGGGGATCAGATGAGGAAGGAAGGAAGGAAGAGCTGAAACACAAGGTGAGAGGACTAGGTACTATCCCTGATCCAGGGGTGGGATTCAGCTGGTTCGGACCAGTTCGGGAGAACCAGTTGTTATGATTTTGGGCAGTTCAGAGAACCAGTAAAATTGACCACTGGCTAGCCCCGCCCACCCCACCCCACCCCACCCTGCCCTGCCCTGCCCTATATATTATCTTCCCTTCACCACGCGGTCCAGCTAATCTCTGTGCTTCATCTCCGTGCCTCGCCCGCTCTGCTCACCAAAGGTAAGCATGCTGCCCGCTCGCCCTTCGCCTCGGGTCAGGGCCCAGGGACACAGCATTCCCTGGCTCCAGCCTTGCCATGGAGCCACTGCCCACTCGCTGCCCACCTCAGACAGGTCGGGGATAAACCAGCTGTGTCATTCCCCAGCTCTGGCCTTGCCTGGGAGCTGCCGCCTGCTCTCTGCCATCCCCCTCTAGCTTCAAACTATGTCCAGGTTCTTCTTACCTAAAGCGCTGCAGCGGAGATCTTGCAGCCATCCCTTGCCGACAGGGCCGGATTTAGATGAAAAGAGGCCCTAGGCTATTCCACTTATGAGGCCCTTTCACCAGTGGTGGGATTCAATTTTTTTAACAACAGGTTCTGTGGGCATGGCTTAGTTGGGGGTGTGGCTTGGCAATCATGTGACTGGGTGGGCGTGGCTAGCTGGTCACATGACTGTGTAGGCGTGGGTAGCTCATCATGTGACCGGGTGGGCGTGGCTATGTGCATAGGGACTACTCAGAGGGCTGAAAAAAGTCATTTCTGACTGGGCCTCGCACTTTTGACCGGTCCTCACACTTATGACCATCCTCACATTTATGCCCGTGCAGCTTTCTTAACAATCATGTCACTCATTTCACAACTGCTTCTCTTCACCATGGTGACAAGATGGGCAAAAACGTAAAATGTGAGGACAGTCGTAAGTTCGAGGACTGGTCAAAAGTGCGAGGACCAGTCAAAAATAACTTTTTTAGCCCTCTGAGTAGTCCATATGCACAAAAGGACTACCCAGAGGGCTGAAAAAAGTGATTTCTGACAGGTCCTCGCACTTTTGACCGGTCTTCGCACTTATGACTGGTCATCATTTATGCCCATTGTAGCATTCTTAACTACCATGTCACTCATTTCACAACTGCTTCTCTTCACCATGGTGACAAGATAGGGCAAAAACGTAAAATGTGAGGACAGTCGTAAGTTTCGAGGACTGGTCAAAAGTGCGAGGACCAGTCAAAAATAACTTTTTCAGCCCTCTGAGTAGTCCATATGCACAAAAGGATATAGCAATAGAGAGGGATGAAGGAAGGGAAGGGAAATTAGAGTAGGAGTGAGGGTAAGAGAGGGAGGAAGAGAGGAGGAGAAGGAGAAAGGAAGAGGAAGTAGGGAGGAGAAGAAGAGGGGGAGGAAGAGAAAGTAAGAAGGAAAGAAAAGAGAGAGGTGGTAGGTTTGAGGAGAAAGATTGCTGTACCATAAAAAAGATGAAAGGGAAGAAAGCCAACCCCAAACAAATATAAAGATATTAAGATAAAGAATGAATTGTTAAACTTTAAAGAATAAAAGAGAACAAATATGAATAAATAACAATAATTAGAAACACACATACAAACATACAATGTATTTTCTTTGAACAGAGTATTTGGCTGGTTCATAAATTTAAACCACAACTTAACCATTTCTGCTTTCAACACAATATACAATTAATAGTATCTCAATTATTACAATTCCCTAGTTAAATAGAGCTTTTTTTCTTTTGTGTTTTAAAATCCTGAACTCTCCTCTTTTTCTCTAAATTTCCCATTGTTTGCACGTACCTTTTTTGGTGAGGAAAAAGAAAAGAATTCTGCCTGCCTAATTTTCCAACCTTGCAGCAACAGCAAAGCAGTTTCAGTTTCGTTTCTTTGCAAGGAAGCAGAAGAGCCCTGAGCAAAACAGCGGAGACAAATCAGCTGAGAGCCGGGAGGCCAATTAGCCTATGCTGAAGCTCCGTGGGCCAATAAAATTACAAAAAAAAACAACACCGAACCCTTTGTTAAATTGCTGGCTCCCCGGCCCCCCCCCCGCCCCCAGAATCCTACCACTGTGTAGGCCCCTCTTGATCTTGAGGCCCTAGGCTGAAGCCTAGTTAGCCTATAGGAAAATCCGGCCCTGCTTGCCGAGGCTTACTTGCTCGCAGAGATGCTCCATGTGGTCTCCAGGTCAGCAGCTGTTTCTCTCTGCTGCTGCTCTTGCTGGGAGAGAGAGAGCATCTCTTGTGCAATTTAGCAGCTGTGAGCTGCCACTTTCCTCTAAGTCCCATACACATTCAACATGGCTGCTGCTTCTCTGTGCTGTGCGCTTTCCAGATGGGACTTAAACAAAAACAGCAGCTCACTGCTTCTAAATTGCACAAGAGACGCTCTCTCTCCTAGCAAGAGCAGCAGTGGAGAGAAGTAGCCGCTGTCCTGGAAAGCAGAGATGGAGCGGAGCAGGCCCCAAAAGGCCCTCACCGTGTGGGGGAAGCTGTGCATGCGCGGAAGCCATGCGCGCATGAATGCACAGAAGCCATGCCACATTTTCGGCGAACCAGTTAAGTGGGTTGAATCCCACCACTGCCCCGATCCCACAGAAAAATATGCCCACATTAAGGTTCCAAGCTGGAAACTGTGAGACTATGAGTTCTAACCCTGCCTTAGGCATAAAGCCAGCCATCTGGGTGACTTTGGAAGGCAGTGGCAAACCACTTCTGAAATCTTGCCAAGAAAACTGCAGGACTTGTCCAGACAGTCACTAAGAGTGAAGACTGACTTGAAAGTACAGAAAGGGGCCAGCATTGCAAAACTATACTACTACTTCAATTAAATTTTGTATAAAGATAGTCCTTAACGTACGATCACAGTTGAGCCCAAAATTTATGTTGCTAAGCAATTCATTTGTTAAGTGAGTTTTGCCTCATTTTATGACTTTTATTGTCATTAAATGAACTTTTGTAAGTCAAGGATTACCTATAGTAGGGGAAAAATGTGTTTTGACCCAGGGCTGCACCCAATTTTCTATCTTACTTGGTGCTACAGGGGTACAGTTGATACTGATAGAGTGCATAGAATCAAGAATTTGGACCATGTTTTGTGTTTTTGAAAAGTTCAAGGGGAAAAATTGGGGATTTTAGCTTTATAGATCAACCAGGCAAGGAAATATTAGCTTATTCCTGCCATCAATAATTTACCATAAAACTTTATATAATTTACAGAATTAGAATTACAGAATATCAGAGTTGGAAGGGATCTTGGAGGTCTTCTAGTCCAAACCCCTGCTCAAGCAGGAGACCCTATACCATTTCAGACAAATGGCTGTCTAGTCTCTTCTTAACAGTCTCCAGTGATGGAGCACCCACAACATCTCGTGGCAAGCTGTTCTCCAGTGATTAATTGTTCTCACTATTAGGAAGTTTCTCCTTAGAAGAAGGTTGCTTTTCTCCTTAATTAGTTTCCATTTGTTGCTTCTTGTCCTGCCTTCAGGTGCTTTGGAGAATAAATTTACTCTCTCTTCTTTGGGGCAGCTCCTCAGATATTGGAAGGCTGCTATCATGTCACAGTTTTCTTCTTTTGCTAGTTCTTCTTTTCACTAGACTAGACATACCCAATTCCTGCAACCGTTCTTTGTATGTTTTAGCCTCTTAATCATCTTTGTTGCTCTTCTCTGCACCCTTTCCAGAGTCTTAACATCTTTTTTATATCATGGTGACCAACACTGACAAACAAAGTTAAGAAACAGCCAAGGAAGAAGCAAAAGGAAAAGAGCTACCATGGGCCTCCCTCGACTTCAAAAGACTGGCATTGGTGCCTGGAAGGACAAAGACCACTGTGGCCCACAAAACCCCTCCCTCAGCAGCTGAGAAAGAGGGGCTGCCACAACATTCACCTTCCTCAGCCCACAAGATTTTGGCCCTCCAGTGTCAGCAAGTTCAGGGCCCCAGATCCGCCCAGACTATCCAGAGTTGCTCACTCAATTTAACAGATTATTTCAGGTAAAAGAGTGTCCATTAAATACAAATGTTTATTAAATCTAAACTGATGTAGTTAATGTAATTTACATAGATGAGTAATTATATAATTGATGTTTTATGCAAATGACATAAATGACATAAAGTAACAATTGAATAATTATGTACAAAATGCTATCATTAATAATGAAAAAAGACTCTGTTGTCTTGACGAATGTCAGAAAAAACGATTTGTCTATTATTTCAGGTGTAAAGTCTGATTGCAGATTTGTGATATTCCATCCAACACTTGTTAATTGAAGGCTCATTATATTAATTTCACTTTACATTAAAAATGGGAAAAATGATTTCCAAACAGAGTGAGTACAACTCTTGCCCATCCTACTGCCTAAACATTTTTTCACATTGTTTGAGAAATACTTACCCTTCACTGTAATCTCCAGGACTTGGCTAAATTCAGACTCCTGCAACTGACTCCCATTATAGAGCCCATACTGACATCTATACCTGCCCCCATCTCTAGTCTTCACATTTTCCAGAAGGAAGGTAACATTATGCTGAGCCTCTGCAGCAGGCAAAGTCTTCAGTGCCTTGGATTCATTATTCTTGAACAAAAAAAACCAACCATCCATGTATTTACTGGGTGCAAAACATGCTATCTTGAGAGAATCTCCTTCAGTCACTTCATCAGAAAGAACATTCAGGAAAATATGTGGAGAGGGAAATCGGCGGAAAGCTGCCATGCAACCTAAAACAGCATAAAATAGAATGCGAAGGACTGAAATTTATAGACATTGTATTAAAATATTAGAAAACAACAATTATGGATACAAATTCATGCCATTTTGGCAAGGTTTCAATTTATGAAATGATATTAATCAGTCTTATAAATATTTCCAACAAATGACAAAATAAATCAGAGTAGTTTTTTAGAAGAATGAAGTGTAGTTCGCAAGCTGTTTGTTTTGGGCAAAGTACAGCCCCACAAAATCTTGCAGACAGTCCTGGAAACCTCCAAAATTCAGAATAACAGAGTTGGAAGGGACCTTGGAGGTCTTCTAGTCCAATCCCCTACTCATTCATTATCAAACTGTAATTTTTAATATGTTAGAAAAGGTCCTCAGCATCGTTTTTGTATCATCTGCATCAGAAATGAATGTAGTATTCCAAGAGTGGCCTCACTAGTGTGGTATAAAGCAGATTACTTTTTGTGATCTTGATGCTATCCCTATGTTGATGCAGCCTAGGATGGCATTGGCTATTTTGGCAGCTGCAGCATATTGGTAGCTTATACTTCAGTGGTGGTCCAGGAGGACTCATAAATCTCTCTCACAGGTATTACTGTTGAGCCATATCCCACTTAAGCTGTATCTATGCATTTGGTTTTTCCTACTTAAGTGCAGGACCTTATTTTTTTCACCACTGAACTGCATTTTCCTGGTAGGACCCAATGCTGAAGTCTGTCAAGATCCTTCTGACTCTTGAGTCTATCTTCCAAAGTGTTAGCCCCAGGTTGGCAAATTTGTTAAGTTCCCCTTCTATCCCCTCATCTAAATCATTTATGAATATCTTAAAGAGTACTGGGCCCAAGACAGAATCTTGAGGTATCTTACTGCATGCTTTCCTCCATGCAGACATAATTCCATTGAGGACTACACACAGGGTGCAGTTGCATTCATATTGTCTCCCCTAGGTTTTCAAATCTTGGTTAAATAGTAAGGATAACTGTGCTAATTATATGCCTTCACTTTCCATTTATTTATGATAGCATTTAGAAATGGATATAAGAGAAAAGAAAAAAACATACCAGTTAGAAGAAAAATAATTTTCAACTCCACATTACTATGGAACATCTCGTTATCTTTTGCAGACAGATATGGGAAATACCATTAACTTACAACAAAGTTTTGTAAGATTGAAATAACAAAAAGGAGAACATGCTTGCTTAATGAGGAGTTTTGCCATTTGAGGAAATTGCACTTTGTCTCTTTGCAAGGCGTTTCTACTTCCTGCTACAAATCAATTTTATAGATTCCTTCTCAAATTGTGGTCTCATCAAACCATGGAGGACAAAATCTAAATGGATTACTTGGTTTAAAGTCCATAGCCATCAGTTTGGGCAATCTGAACAAATTTCAAAACATGACATTAAAAAAATTAATACTCCATATATCTTTCAAAATAAAGTTCTAAAATGTTAAAATCTGACTGTTTATACTCTTGAAGAGTCTAATCCTAGGATACATTTCATTTCAACATTCTTCAATTTTTATACCTGTTACATCAACCAGCAAAAAATTGGACATGCTGTCAGGTATAGTTTCAGATACTCCTTCAAAGGTAGGCTGGTTTTCCTTTATAGCAAAGGCAGCATAAAGAGCTAGAGGGCAAAATTTTTATCATATGTGGTCATCTTGCAAATATGTGAAAATATACTGGATAAACATAACAGTGACAATGCAAAACTATTTAAGAAACAAATAATAATGAAACCTGAAGGTTTTCTTTTAGGTATGATGGGCAAGTCAATTGAAAAACAATTTGGAGTGCTATTCCTTCACATGGTGATGGCTGCAAGGATTGTACTTGCCAAACACTGGAAAGAAAAAGAGATGTCGACTGTTGAAGAATGGATTTTGAAATGACTGAATTAGCAAAGTTGGCAAAGATGTTTTAATTAGAAATAATGGACTAGACCAGGGGTGGGTTCTAAAATTTTTTACTACCGGTTCTGTGGGCATGGCTTATTTTGTGGGCGTGGTTTGATGGTCATGTGACAATTCTTTAGGATTTAGCAGAGGTACTAGTCTACCAGGCTTTTAACTGCTTGCAGAGCTGTACCGGTCTACCATTTGCTTTTGGAGGCACCGGTCTACTCAATTGTTTTTGGAGGCACCGGTCTACCCATTTGTTTTTGGAGGCACCGGTCTACCCATTTGTTTTGGGAGGCACCGGTCTACTCATTTGTTTTTTGAGCGCGCTGGTCTACCACCACACTGCCTTTTAACACTGATCAGCTGTAGGGTGGCCCTTTGAAGCCTTGCGGCAAGAGTTTAAACAGTTTTTTTTCCTTCTAGCTGATCAGCTGGGACTCGGGAGGCAGCAAATAGATTGGGGGTGGGGCCAAATAAAAGGTAAGAATAAAGCGGGGGAGGGGCGGGAGGACCCAGCTCCCGAACAAAGAGAACCAGTTCAGTGACGTCATATCGTCACTGCTATCAGCTTGGCCGAACCGGGAGAAACCCACCACTGGATTAGACACCTTTATAAGAGATTGGAAACCATTTGTGGACTTTCTACGTGCTAAATATAATAACAGATGGTTAACAGAGGGATTTGAAAATTAGTGTAATGTTTACCTCAGCCTGTTGACTGCTTTTTCATTATATGTGAGTATGTGTGTGTAACGGATTGCATTATTCAGTGAGTGAAGAACTTTGGATATAATGTAAAGCTTGAACAATGGGAGAATATGTGGACGAAAGGTTTAAAATTTATATTAAATTACAATTCAAAAGAAAAATTTTATAAGATGATGTAGCATTGGTATTTAACACCAGATAAGTTATCAAGAATGTATAAAGGTATTTCAAAGGAATGTTGGAAATGCTAATATAAAGAAGGGACTTTTTAACATTTATGGTGGATATGTGATAAAGCAAAGAAATATTGGAGTAGGATTCATATTCTAATACAGAAGATTCTTAAAGTAAATATAAAAATAAAAGTAGAAACTTTTTGGGGGGGTTTAATGGAAAAAGATTTGGGGGAAAAATTGAAACTTTGAAGTTATATATGTTGATGGCAGCAAGATTACTTTATGCACAAAAATGGAAGGATGCTTCGATCCCCACAGTGGACAAATGGTTGCAAAAGCTGATGGAATTGGCAGAGATGGCTAAATTGATTGCTTTGATAAAAGAAAAAAAATCAAAATACTTTTGTTTGTACTTGGAAACCGCTTCTGGACTTTGTGTTTGAGGTGGAAAAAAATGAAATTTGATTTTGGATTTTACTGATTAGATAGATCTGTTGTTATAGAAATGGCTAGCTTATACTGCTATGTAAAAGTAAAAAGTTGTGGTTCAATGTTATTTCTTATTCTACTGCACCAAAGGGAGTCAGAAGTCAATGTCTTTTTTTTCCCATTCTTTTTTACACTTTTCTCTCCCCCTCTATTTTTTCTATTATTTGCTTTTGTAGTTTATATTATGAACTAATAAAAAAAAGAGGGGGGACACAAAAGTTTCCAGTTCAGTCTTATGAAAGATTCAAAGAACAAACATGTTGCAATCCATATGAGGCCTCTTAGGGAAAGCAGAAGTCCTCTATTAGAACTAAAGTTCCCAGCTCAGTGAAAGGTCAAATTTTAAAAAGAGCTGTTGATTTATATTTTCTCTTGCAAGGAGAATCAGGAAAACTATTTGGTTTCATGAATCTCTATTTGGCTTAGGGGAGATTCAAGAAACAAACTTGTTGCAATCCCTATGAAACCCTTACAATCAATCCCAAAGGTACTTTCTTTTTCTTTGAAGATGTTTCACTTCTCATCCAAGAAGCTTCTTCAGTTCTGACTGGATGGTGGGGAATGGAAGGATTTATACTCCTTGCAGACAGCTGGTCATTTGCATTCTTTTAGAGAATTGTTGAGGCCTCTTGGAGTCATCTGTGTCATCAGGGTCACCTGAGTAGTGCAAATGGGTGTGGAGCCTTCTTGGAACTGCTGAAAGGACTGTGTTGTAGACTGGAGAAAGATGATGTTGTATCCCTGCCCCTCTGTTAAGAGAAGGCTGCATGGTCCCTTCCAACTCTGTTAATATTGTCAGAATTCGAGGATCTAGCCCAATGATTACTCAGAGTCTTTAATAGTATTTTAATGTACTTTTATTTATGTCTGTTCTCTTGCAGGAGAAACAGAGAAGAACCAAGAATCAGGGAAGTTTCACTATATATACTAAGGAGGAGTGGTCAGAGGTAAGTGGGAGTGGTGATAGTGATGACAACAACTAAGTAGGAGTTGACTATAGATATATACATTAACAAATGTTAGGCATTTACATATATGATAGAACCCCCTCTAAATGCCTAAGATAGATGAATATTTAACTTAGATCTTAAATACAAATGCTGTTTATTAGGTAAGGGTTTCGTAAGTATGTCCGCTATTTGTTCTTTTGTTTCACAATAAATGGCTTTCAAAAATCCAATATTAGAGAGCTGTCTTACATGCTTATGTTTTATATCGATGTGTCTGGATCTTTGACCCACTGCGTCTGATCTAGAAATTTCAATTGCAGCTTTGTTATCTTCATAAATGGTGATGGGGTAACTGGGTTCATTCCATATGGTAGATATTAAGTCGTCGAACCATATGAGATTGTTAGAAGCCTTTGATAGGCACACAAATTCAGCCTCAGTTGTAGATGTGGCAACCAAATTCTGTTTTCCAGTGTACCAATGTACAGGACAGTCATTGAGAAAAAAGATATACCCGGGCGTACTTTTCCTACTCTTTATGTCTCCTGCCCAATTGGCATCAGCGTAGCAGGAAAGTATGGGTCTTGTTGAAGTACTTGGTTCCAATTTTAGAAATGTGCTTGAACTATGTTTTAAATATTTGAGAATTCTTTTTACAGCTTCCCAATGATAAATTGTAGGTTTACCTACGTACCTAGATAATAGATTGACAGGTAATGCTATATCAGGTCTAGTCCAATTAGCTATATATAATAAAGGCCCTATTGTTAACCTATATAGTTTGTTATTAGTAAAAGGTTCATCTTCGTTATGCAGGTTTTTCACAAAGTCAGGATGCATGGGCGTGTCACAATATTTAGCTTCACTCATGTTACATTTATCTATCAGTTCTAATATTTTCTCTTCTTGGGAGAGTTGAAACCCCTTTTGTGTTTGTGTGACGTGAACTTCTAAATATTTATTTATTTTTCCTAAAGATTTTAGAGAGAAGTGTTTGTTTAACTCTTGAGCGAAGGTGTCACATTTATGTTTCTGTTTGCCTATATATAATATAGCATCTATGTAAATGAGAACATATTCTATAGATTCCTTATCTTTTCTAGTGAAGAAACACATATCTGCAGGTGTGGCAGAAAAACCTATTGATTTGAGTATAGTGGACAAACAATCGTACCATTGCTTTCCGGACTGTTTCAATCCGTATAGACTCTTATTCAAAAGCCAGGTATTGCCTTCTGTTGGGTGTATTCCTGGAGGAGCTTTAACATATATCTTTTTGTCTAATTTGGCATGCAAATAGGTGGTTTGGACATCGAATTGATACACATCTAATTTTAAAATGGAAGCAATTACTAATGCGCACTTCACACTTTCTATCCTAACGGTGGGTGAATAAGTTTCCGTATAATCTTCTGGATATTTTTGAGCAAATCCCTGGGCCACTAATCTAGCTTTGTAAATTGTTTCGTCATTATCTAGGGTTTTTATTTTGTATACCCATTTTGTTCCAATTGGATATTTGTCTTTTGGTACTTCTGATGGAGTGTATACATCTAACTCTTTTAGGCTATTTAGTTCCTTTTTCATAGCCAGTTCCCATTTGTTTTTTTCTTCATGTGGTAATTTTGCTACCTCGTCATATGAGTTTGGGCCAGATTTTTCTTTATGTATAGACATGATAAAGTCATTAAATTTACTAGGTTTTTTATTTCTATTTGCTCTGGTGGGTCTATTTGGCAGAGTGACTGATTCATGAAGGTATCTTGCTTCTTTTTCAGAGAGAGTGTCTAATTTTAATGATGGATGGTTTTCTTTCCACTCCTTAATGTTAATCTCTCGATGGTTGGGCTTGGTTATTTGATGTTCATCGTTTTCTACACTATCTGAACCTTGTTGACTGTCTG